TTATTTCAGCTACGTTTTTTGCGATTTGTGAATTGTGAATAACTCCTCGATGCATTTATTTTTGTCATTTATTGTTTCACTAAATTTGTTCTTGAGCATTTGACTTTCGTGGCTGTATTGTTGATTATTACTCCTTGATACATTGAACCGACCGATCCAACAGCATAGAAATCAAGTTTCGTCTTTGTCAAAACGTCTACTGTCATTCAAAACGTTGATCACTTATTTCCTAAGTGAATCAACTAGTATATTCGTGTGTTATTCTTCAGTTTTTAATGCATTGTATTGTATTTAATTAACCTCCTTTGAAATAAACTAACCTATTTTTTAATTTCTGTGGACTGAATAGATATGGTTCAAAACCGTACAGGTATCGTACATCTGTTCTTCTTATGCGTGATTTTTTTTATTCAGTACACCTCATTCATTTAGCTGATAGGTTTTTGATTAATTAGCCCAATGGGCATGTCTCGACTAACGAGTAACCCACAGTTACCACGAGTTCTAGACTTCACAATTTCAGTCAATGACAGATAAGTGAGGAAGCCTTGTGTGATACCACTGTCATCTCGGTTGAATAGATCAAGAGGCTCATACGCTACAACGTCTCAAGGTCGATGATTCAATGATCGTGTTTCGAGAAAAGATAGATAATCGCCTGAATATTTAGGCATGTATAACACTACTAAAGATAGAGCTACTAATAAGAGTATTTGCCGATCACCTTGCGCCAGTGAGCCACCGTAATGCAGATGTACTAAGGGTGACACCGGCAGTTTTTTAAGCCCATTACATTATCCTTCGTGTTGGGTTTTATGTAGGCATGAACTAATACAATCTCATTTAACACAACGCCGAAATGTGGATATTAGAGTCCCAATCTGTTTTGTAGCTGGATTTTAAACATGTGATGTGATTGGTCTCTGGTGCCTGAAACTGTATTAACGTTTGCACTATCGAAATTCCAAGACACACTTTGTAGGATCAATTTTGGATGTTTTGTGTGTGAAAATCCCTCCATGTATATACTTGCAGTTTCTTCCTATTAATTCCTTTAGTTGTACATTTTGTTAGCCTTGTTGATTCCATTTGAGTTGGCAATATTTGTATTTTATTATAGTTTTTATTTTTACACGCCTTCTCTAAGTTTCCATGTTTCTTTCTGAACTGCATTTATGTTGTTTTACTTGTAAACACTCTGTGTTATAAATATTATCTTTTGAACGAATCTGTTGGTAATTTTCTCGCATCCTTTATAAATTTTCCTATTTATTGTGATTTAGATCTGATGAACTGAAAAATTACTGGTTGGATAGATGGGTGGTCATATTTGTTTAAGTAGTAATGTACATTTAAATTTATGACGAATTTCAGAACCTTTATTTTACCCAATCACTTTGTTTTTATTTCAACTAGGCAAGGGCGCGTATCTAACCCACCTATACGGCTATTCTTCAGTCTGACCCTTGGTTTGAATATGACAAACTTGTCCTTTGTGTTAGACTTTGTCATGACTGACACTTGCGAGGAACACTCATGATGACTAGTTTGAGTTCTGGCTTAAAGAGAAGGGGTAGACCAGAGCTGCCTATTAATGCTGTGCCACAAGTAATCTGGATATCAGGGATTGAAACGGAGTCACTCTCTCTTGGACTTAAATTTCATATTCCGGATCAGGGTTCCGATTTAGTCAACCTAAACAGTGATGAATACATTAGCAAAGTAATGTCCGTTTTAAATGATTCCACGAGATTTATCATCGATAATGCTCAAAAAGACCTAACAGATATAACTGAGGAGCGTCATCTCAAAAAGCTGAGAAAACTCCTAAAGAAAAATATAATAGATATTCATACGTACAATGAACTGAAAACGAAAGGACCACAATTATACGGCCTACCTGAATCACACAAACCCACAATCCCGATGACTTCAATATTATCCATGACCGAATCACCCTCCTATAAACTGGCTGACAAGGTGCCTGGAACCAATTTGTAAGAAACTGGCACCCTGTTTCTGTGTACCAAAAACATACATTTTCAATTTAACCATGTGTTGTACCGCCAAATTGATGGAGTAGCCATGGGTAGCTCTTTGGATTCAATTCTGGTCGACATATTTATGAGACGCCCGGAACAGCTCAAGCACGCAATTGGTGGAACTATACTCCACTGTGGATATACTGATGACAATTTTCTCCTCTGCAACAATCACAAGCATTCTATAAACCTACTCAATCTGTTTAATAAAGCACACAAGGATATAGATTTTACCATGGAACGCGAAGTAGAAGGTACATTACATTTCCTAGATATTGGAGTCAGAAGAACCTCAGACAGCACATTACAAAGACACATTCACTGCAAAAATACCAGGAGTGGAGTTTATCTCAACTACAACGGTTTATGTCCAATGAGTTGCAAAAAGCGTATTGTACGAACTCTGTTTGACCGCGCACGTAAAGTTTGCCCAAAAAATGCCTGAAAGGTAAAATTGCTCTTCTTAAAAATTACCTACGAAAAAATGCATATCCGGAGAAGTTCATCCAGAAGTATGCTAAAATCAACATTTGACTTAAATACGATACAGTACTTGGGCTTTAAAAAATATGAAACCACTGGAATGATTAGTCATAGGATAAATTCCTCGTTGAAGGCGACTTACCCATTAGCGAAGCTGACAAAATTCTGGGAAACAAACCGCTTGCCCGAACAAAATAAAGTTGACAGGCCCTCTTTCCTCAGTAGCTTCAACTATATTTATTAATTTGCATGTACGTGCCAAAACACATACATTGGCAGAACCGAGAAAACAGTACACGTTCGCATTTCCGAGCATGTCTCAACGAAATTGAGACTGCTAGGGGCAACGGCTCTTAACAGTGCAACAACTCAGCATTTACGTGACACCAGGTATACCACTGACATTCCCCAAGCTTTCAAAATTATTAGCTGACAAAGACACACTGCTTCCCTTCGGTGAAGAAAGCTCAAACTTGATTGATTTATCCAAAGAGAGGCAGTAATGAACCTTTTACTACCTTGGTTATTCATTTTTGGTCATCACTTTTATTTTGTTATGTTGTTCTTGCATTACCGAGTTCTTATTTTATGTACATTAAAATACCCCTTCATCCACAAATCTCCATCAACTCAATTCTCTCAAATTATGTAAATTCTTTAAATCTTGTTCAATTACTACGCAATTATCATAAAATTTATCTATCTCTGAACTTCACTCATGTCTTTTTTTATTCTGACACTAAATGACCTCCGACCTGTTACTACACAGATATATATATAGTTATTATTGGTAACCTTCGTCATTCCAGTTCTTTGCATTCACTTATGTCAATTGTTTCATATTATATCTTACCTCTATGTAAATTTAAACATATTCGATCATAAGCAACTGATGAGAAACCACGAAATATAATGAATTCATATCATTCCGTACCCATGTTTCTTCTGGCTTCATTTAAATTCACAAACGAAACTAATTGGATGAAATATCAAGAAGATTGATCATCTTGAACAAATTTTTGAGTAAACGTCAATGTTTATGTTGCCAGGGTGGCATTTGTGTTACAAAAAGAGCAAATATGACTGATAGGAAGTAAAATTTTCATTATAGGATGATTCTGCTCAAATCATGGTACTGGTGTTTTTTGCTAAAACATCATAGAAATAACATTTCACCTCGAACTTTGTTACGGAGATTCTTAGACCCAAGATTCATACTATTCGCCGGGGTCAGGTTGTGATTAAAATAAGCAGGAAAATATTTGGTCACTAAAGACAACTTAACACTAATTATTTGAGTGTGAGATTGCTAAAAATAGGGCAAATCTGTATGCCAGGATAGGCAAGTTTTCAATCATTGTTCGAATGTCACTATATTTTGAAGTAATTTCCGATGTTCTGATATTTATGTTCCGTTTCAAACAAACGATTGTGAAGACATATTATGATGATTTATGTGAAAGCTTTTTTATTAAGTTATCAACGATCCTAATTTTGAAGGGTCTATTTGATCTTCGCACAAAAATTAGAATTCATATATTAAGTAAACGGATGGGGACATAGATGGGATCCTGATTTGCTCTAGTTAATCCACAACTCATCCCAAACAGTGTGGTTCCCAACTTGGTGTTTTACGCCTCAACAAATGAGATGCATAGATTTTTTGTTACCGCAGAGTCAAGAATTAACTTCATCAAACTTGGTAAACCGTTTCAGTCATTAAATGTTAGAAAAAATGGAAAATGTAAAGAGAGAAGTACAGCTATCATTGCAAAGGTGACGAACGGTCTCAAGAAGGGTTCTTCTTGGAGATGGCACAGGTATTCAGTGTTTGGCAACGCTTTTACCAGTTACACTTTCTAATATAACTCGTACCCACCAAGAGCAATCAAAAGACAGAATCGAGGAGATCAGAAATTGTATTTGACGATTGTTAATATATCAGAATTGTCTGATCTAATCTGGCTAGCGATTGCAGTAGATGCTGAACACGGCGTTCCCACACGTGATCTGGTGCGAATGCCTGGCCGAGCACCTTCAACTAGATGAGTCCACCAAAACTAATCTGGTCAGCGTTCAATGTCGAGAACTTACAGAGCTTTTTTTTCTGGATTCATTTACCGCTACGTTCTTAACATGACCGTGATTGTTTACCGGACGACTTGTCATTGGTGTTAATACAAACTGAAAAGGTCAGTATCAATGTCAGATGACTATAAAATTGTTTGCCGAACGTAACCAGTTACCATAATATATTCCAGGAACTCAAATAAGTGTTTACCATTTATATATTTATCCAGCAATATTTTGAATAAACTGTAAATTAGGTCATATAATAACTATCTTTTGGACTGCGATTTACTTTGAGCTACTAAATGGGAAATTTGCATCTTGTGCCGATTTTCTCAAGTGTATGAGTTACACTTGTTCAAAGTTTCAATTGCTTTTTCTATACTCCTTCACCGGAAGTCGTTTGGCGCAGTCGTTGTTAATGACGCTTTCGTGCCTTTCAAGTCTAATAATGGTGTAAATCTTGGTTGGTAGTTATTTTCACTTTGGTATGTTAATAAAATATTTGATGATGTGTCTTGATGCTATTTTTTGCTGAAGCGTGCACAGACCTTGTCAGTAGATTCATTTGCAAATATTTCGGTCACTTTCTATTTCAGCTCTTTATTATTGTATGGATAAAAGGCATTCACATGCTCTATACTCTTATTCTGATATCGATAAATTATCTCCATTAGATGTTGATATGACCGTCATAAACAATCCAGATTCTGATAAGAGTGGCGTTTTACTGGACACATGGTCTGTAAATCACTCCAGTGATTTAGTTTCAACCCCAAATGATTTGGTTTCTTTGGCATGGCTTCAGAAAAGAGATATTTTGCAGATAGCTCCGTTAGATGGAGAAGAGGACGGGAGTGATTCCGTTAGTTCGGCAATCGCCGGACAAACGGAGGATGACGATAATTTCGAGAGCAATCCTATCGTGCACATGGATTCGTTGGAGCCTGTTGTCAACCGTTCACCTTCACTAATGCCTGTATCACAGTTTTCAATTCTAGACAGATGTGTCCGACGACCTGCTTCTGTTTCTGGAGATCAGCTCTCTCATAACGAACAATCGCGTTTCTCAACAAACCCTACTGTTCCTCTTGGCACCCACGGTCTTACAAAGCCGAATTACAGCTATACGCACCTTATATTTATGGCAATTGAGTCTACTCCACAAAAGTGCATGACTGTCAATCAAATTTACAACTGGTGTGAATCAAATTTCCCATTCTATAAACATGCTGGTGTTGGATGGAAAAATTCTCTTAGACATAATCTTTCGATCAATAAGTCTTTCAAGCGCCTACCTCGTGATAGCCGTGTAAGTTTAAGTCCTTTTATCGTGTTTAGTTTTGGGACTGTTCGAGATTTACCCATAAGCTTGTTTTCTTCCCTTACACAGAATGAACCTAATATTTTGAACTGTCGTAGCCTCGATATGCTGTGCTCTCAGAAACAGGAGCATGAGGATTTTGATGATGATGAGGTGATAGAGATTGTCATACGCACAACAAATGCACCTTTTATATCACTAATATTTCCTGACGCACCCGTGTTACTCGTGTTGTATCGTATTAATTGTCAAAATTTATGTAAATGCTTGTTGTGTAGACAATTAACCACTTCTGTTGCTTACTTCTCATCTTTTCTTCCGTCTCTTTCTATCTTCAAATAGGGCCCCGGTCGAGGTGCTTTCTGGACAGTTGAACCTCGTGAACGCGCATCTTTGCTAGACGCTATTAAAAGAAATCCGTGGAACTTCGCCAATGTGACTGCTATGGGATGTCACTTATCTGATGGTTCTAACAACGTTACTTCCGCATCTGCATATCCAGTTAGACGTTTTGGTCTTGCACATAGCGCTCCTAGTCACCTTTTACGAGCCGAGGGATTGGGAAAAGATAAACTTGAGTCAACCCCACACATCCGTTTATTGTATACTAGCGATGGTCAAGTCTTGGCAACTTATGATGCTTCATTTGTTGATCCGTCAAAATTTGAATATGATATGACTGCCAGTAAGGAGAGTGCTGCAACCTTGTCTTCTGATGTTCCTTTATGCGATCACAGATATTGGACTTCACCATCTGGAGACACTGCCAGCACTGATGGTGCGACGGCTGAGGTTGAATGGCCAGCCGAAGAAGAGGAGAAGTATTTGGATACTTTACGCTTATTAAACGAAGGAGAAGAAACAGTTGCCAAGTCACAATCAACTATAACAGAACCCCCAGATGCGAGTTCAATGAGGTAATTTCCCTTAAAATTTATCTTGTATATGGCTTGGAAGTTCCGGTTTATCCACCATTTACTTGCGTTTTTGTTAGTGAGGGTTTAGCTTCAGCTAGCGCTGGTCCAAGGGACGAGATCGCCTTATCAAAGATCTTAAAACATGATCTTGACCAACTGTAAGGTTGGTTATTGATTAATTTATTATAAAAATCCATGTCAACTGCATAACTGTCAGTTTTAACTGTCTTTCCTGGCATGTCACTTGTTCTCTTTGGTGTTTGTAGATGCATCAGGTTAGTTGTATTTACCAGCTTAATATTTAGAGAGATGTAACTGCTTGTTTCCGTTATGCCTTTACTTAAAATCACTGTTAACTTGTGGACGTCGAAGCCTGGTTGGTTAGATCTCAACCTTACAAGAAACCTTCATTTCCTAATTTCAGTCAGTGTTTCCTAAATACAATCTAACACGTTTATAATCACGATTTTCAGAGATTGGTAGGAATGCCAAAGTTCTTGGTGTATTGATTTTCATACCACGACGTGTTTTGGGCAGGGTTCAAATCATTCACTAAACGAGTGACAAACATGTGGGGATTGTTAAACGTCATCTCAGTTCGTGTACACCAAGGATATATAAATGTTATGCAGTATATGAGGACATTTTCACATCAGAAAGTAAGCTGTAAACGTGTTGTACACTCGGCACGCTGGATTTATAAAGTTCTTAGTAATGGAGTGAGAAGTTTGTCCAGTACTTGGCGATTGTCTGCCTAAAACAATGTTGGACCGGAGTTGAACATCTTGATAAACCTCGTACTTACAATATAATCACAAGTATAGCTAAACAAATAGTTACATTACGAACCTTTATTTTTAAGGACTGGAACTACATTCGTAAGTCGGAATCACAGTAACTAATATTTCTGATGATTTCTCTGTAAAATTAGCAAAATGGTTATTTTGTTGTTATTCAAATCATTGGTTTATAACATACTATGGTAATTTGTCCGACTGAACATCTCATAAAATATCAAGTTAATTGGATGTCATTGATAAGTCTATTGAGAATGAACCTTACTAGTTTTTAAATCGCTGTCAAGGAAAGTCGACCATATTTAGCTCGGTTTCGGAAAAGTATTGTTTTTCAGCTGGTTTTGTCCTACAAATGGGGCTTGTAATTTTACAATTACTGTGTTTTTCTTGTTTTGTCATTTTAATGAACATTCTTATCCACAATCTTTTTTTGTATAGTAAAACGAAGTCCGAAGCTTTGGAAAGTAAGTCTCTTTCAGTCTTATATCATTTGATATTTTATTTAATATCCAGTTTTTTTTCATGTCACTATATGATTGTGAAAGAGTTTAAATATAGGGTAATGCTGGAAAATTGTCTAATATTTGGATATTCTTGGCTACACTTTACCCAAGTAGTTTCATGTCTTCGTGTAATGTTTTTAAATTTGACGTATCGTGCAATACAACTGTAACAACAACAACAAAAACTACTAACTTGAACCATGTCTGATCATTTTTATCTCTCTCATCACTTCCTCAAGCTATCACCATGATAACTTCAAATAATGGACTAATTCTTAGCAGGGCTCATTCATTTCGGTTTATCCATGTTGTTTACTCTGATCCTGATTGAGTTGTTCAGTGTCTATTATTTGGACCCTGTTTATTTCACACTCTTCAGTCAGTCAGTCGTCAACAACATAAAACTTCGTAAGTACATAAATCAGTTCGAGTTGCCATACCACATTAGCACAGAGATACAGTTGTCGATTCAAATCCCATAGTAGTAGTATAATATGGTGAAATAAATTTGGAAAGAGGAAAAAAGGACATAAAAATTAAGAAGATTAGAATTTGGGTGAACACAAAGAGTGGATGATACACCTGCGCCATTGCAAACGATTTTGAGCCATGTCATTCAGGGTCTCTAACCATCGGTTGCTATCGTCTTGAGGATCCCAACCAAGTAGTCTACACCTGCTAACATGGTTCAGTCCACTAGTCAATGACTTCATGGATTTGTGCCATCTTTTGGTCCGGCCGCCCCTAGCTTTCTTTCTCTTCGAATTCTCATTGTTGTGTGGCGCATATTGGCGCTCTCCTGTACCAATATTTGTGTTCAAATAAATAAATACACCATAAAATACCGCATGTCAGGACAGTCGGTGGTTGGGTACATGTAACATATGTTCCAGCCATCTCAACTGACTAAGGTTCACCACTTCATCAATTGATTTGCCATCCTTACCTAGTATCCGTATCCTAACAACTGAATTACCTACTTGGTGGTCCAAGGATACGAGCAATCTTTCGAAGACACCTATGATCAAATACTAGCAGCCTACAAATATCCTCTACTCCTACCGGCCATGTTTCACTGCCATAAAGTAGGACGGAACGAACTGCTGAGCAGTAAACACGTCCTCATTTGGTTGATAGATGGATATCTCGCCTACGCCATAAATGACGCAAGTTGGCAAAAGCTAGTCAAGCCTTCTGTATCCGTGCCCAGAATTCGTCACACCGGACCACAAAGGCTGATGAGACTACCAAGATAGGTGGTCGACCCGCTCAATTACTTCAATCCTTATCATTAGTTCAGGTCGGAAACCAGCCTGGTTTTCTCTAGTCTGCTCTTCACGAGATTTATTTGGGCGTCGAATTATTATTGAAGCTAATATTTTAGACACTATATTAATCAAACTGATTCCTCTTTGATTGCCATAAGAGAACTTTTGTCCTTCCTTATCGACCAGTCAAATGGGATTACCAAATGGCAAAATGGGAATTTTTACTAAATGGGATTACGTCCACTTCCCAGATTCTACCAAAGACCTCAGTCAATCTCACTGCTAATACTGGATCGCCATCCTTAAAAATCTCAGGGATAAACCGGTCAGGGCCTGTTACTCTCCCTATAACTTTTTCAAGTTCGTAGAGTTGGAGGATTTAAATCAACTTGCCATTTAGGTCGACTGGTGATCGTGGGAAACCGAAGTTTGACTGAAGGCCAGTTGAACTGATCACTAAAGTGTTCTGCCCATCGATCAAATCTGGATTGAGAGTGAATCATATGTCCATCTTTTCCGAGATGGTTTCGCTAACAGTCGGGTTCCTAATAACTGTTTACTTGACGATTCTGAAAAAGTTATCTGCTGTAGCCTATTGCCGCTGCCTTTTCCATCTCTCTTGCTTTCGCTACCCACCACTGTTCGCGATCATTGCGTAGACTTCTCATCAGTTTGCGTTTAAACTGACTCCGCTCTTCGTCATGTTCAGAGCCAGGTGGGAGTTTTCGAGCATCTATCAGTGTGGTAGATGCCACTGAGATCCAGTATTTCCTCCCAAACCTTATGGTTTACCGTACTAGCAGATATTTCTGTTGTTTCCACAGCTTTTCGGGTATCACTCCATGTTGCCTCGGGGTGGGCATCACTTACATGGTTTCCTAACTGTTTTTCTAGTTGTTCCTGAAATATATTCTTAGCTTGGCTATCATTGAGTAGGAACCGGAGAGGTATCTTTACGTTGTCTTTCCTACGTCCATTAAGAAGCAGACGATTTCGCGCTCGCACCAGAGCATGATCTGAATCTAAGCATGTGCTCCCGAACGGGCGACAGTCTTCTATCGAGCCTCTACATCGGTGGCTGATAGCGATGTGATCTATTTGGGTCCAACTTTGGGATGAATTTGGGGGTCTACATGTCAAAAGATGTTGTTCCTTGTGCTTAAAGTTAGTATCTGCAAGAAACAGGCAGTTATCTGAGCATAGCTGCAACAGACGGTCGCCATTATCTGTTCTTTGAGACATGACACCTTTTCGTTTAGTTTACCTACTTGAGCATTGAAATCACTAGTACTACATCAGAGCGCCTAACTTTTATGAGGAGGTCAGAAAGCTTTCTGTAAAGCTCATCTTTTTTCCTCATCTGAGCTGCAGTGGGAGAATAGGCACAGAGAACGAAGAGGCAACGACGAGTGTCCCTATCTTTCCGAGTCCTTACTGTTCCGTTTAGTCGGACAGCGCACAAACGACTGTCTACTGGTACCCAGTCTAAGAGAGCTAATTCTGCCCTAGGACTCAATGCTATACCTATACCAACGAGGCCACGGGAAGCAGCACCAGGGCTTTCAGATACACGAAGCGTGAATCGAGATTGTTCTCTATTTTGATATGGTGAGGTCAAATGAATGACGCTCCTTGGGTCCAGTATACACGTTTCGGAGGTGCACTATACGTCAACAGTGCGTGATTCTAAAGTCCCAGCTAAGGAAACCTGTTGTCCTATTCGGCACAGTGTTCGAACGTTAAAGGCTTGTAAATGTAATTTCGAGCGTGGTTCCAGAAGATCGAGAATGACGTTCCGCGTACTCGAATCGTTTGCATTAGTGGCGCGAGGTGATAAAGGAATGTAAGAACGGTTAGTTGTGGAGATAAGAGAGTTATTATTTATTTGAACACATAAATATTGGTATAAGAGTGCGCCAAATATATATGCTCCACACAAAACAATGAGAATTTAAATAGAAGGAAAAAGAAAAACAGTAAGGAGCGTAAAAAAAGAGAACGATAACGAAGAGATTGGTGTTAGTGTAATAATAATAATAATAATAATAATAATAATAATAATAATAATAATAATAATAATAATAATAATAATAATGGGGGAACAGAAAGGTACAATCAGAACAAATCTTTCAGTTAAGGAAGATAAAACCACTTTTCCTATGAAGAAAGTAAAAAAAGGTTACAGCAGGATCGCCACTGGCTTCTATTCTCAGCCATATCTAATAACGTCTCTAGCCACTGTGTAGCAACATCTCTCGGACCCCATCCAGGGAGTCGTGAAGGGCCAACACAATCCAGTCCTTTACAGCTTTATTTCATGACACGACATCATGTCATATACTGACCACCTCTCTGCTTTTTCCAACCAGTCCCAGAGTCGGCAAATAATGCACGATGTGGAATTCTCTGGGACGGCATTCGTAGAGCATGTCCGAGCCACCGAAGTCGGTGTTTCAAGATAGTGACACCAATTGCATTATCGTCTCTCTGCCCTAACACACGATGCCGAACCTCTGCATTACTGACATGGTGTTGCCACTGGATGTCAGCAATCCTTCGGAGACAACGATGGTCTAACACAGTCGTCTAACATCCTCAACTCAGAGAGGCCAGGTTTCACAAGCATAGAGCAAAACTGCTCTCACTGAGGCGTTGTAAATCCGACCTTTAACAGCCAGACTAACATCACGAAGGCGCCAAAAATGGCCCAGATTGGCATAAGCCGCTCTGGCTTTCACTATTCGTGCATTGATCTCATCACTCACACCCCCACCAACACGTATGCAGCTACCCAGATACACGAACTTCTCGACTACTTCTATCTGCTCACCATCCAGGGTGAGTACAGGATTGGAATCCTGCCAGTCTTGTAGAAGTACTTTGCACTTTGAAGGTGCAAAGCACTTACCATACCTACGGACACTGATTGCCAACTGATTAAGTGTGGATTGCATGCCTTGGGCATTGTCGCACAGTAAAACAATATCATCCGCATACTCAAGGTCGGGAAGTCTTTCTCCAGGCAACAGATCCACACCACCATTACTTACATCCATCAGAGCTGTTTCCAGAATGTCGTCGATGGCAAAGTTGAAGAGGAATGGTGAGATTGGGCAACCCTGCCTAACCCCACTGCTCGAATAGGACAATGGAGAGAGGTGGTTGTATGCCCACACTCTGTCTGAGGTGTTTGTATATAGGGCTTTTAGGATGTTAATAAACTTCTCAGGCACACCCTTCTTCAATAGACAATCCCAGAGAACAGTCCTGTCCAACGAATCGAAGGCAGCCCTGATGTCATGGAACACTACGATTGTTGGCCTTTGATAAGTATGACGGTGTTCTAACATTTGGCGGAGGGTGGAGATATGATCAGTCAGTCAGTCAGTCAGCTACAACGTAGGACCAGGCACATATGTGCATCGGTCCAGGTTGCCATACCTCATTAGCACAACAAGATGAACACCGGATTCATAGGAGTGGTTAGGTCAAAGGTTGCAATAAGGATATAGTATAGGAAGGAAGAATTAGTTCGTAGAAAGAAAGATATGAAGTGATTTAATCTCTTAGTTTAAGGGAAGACAGGGAGTGTATACACCGACGCCATTGTGATCGATTCTGAGCCATGTCACCAAGAGTCTCCAACCATTGGTTACGAAAGTCACGCGGACCCCAACCAAGTAGTCTGCATCTACCAACATGGCTCAGACTAGAAGTTAGTGACTTCAAGCACTGATGCCACGTTTTGGTTTGGCCGCCCCTAACTTTCTTCCAACCAACCCCTACACCGGTTAGCATTGCACGTCGTGGTAATCGGTGTTCAGGCATACGTAATACGTGACCCAACCATCTCAGTCGATGAAGATTCATAACCTCATCAACTGATTTACCATCATTCCCTAATACCCTGCGTCTAACCTCACTATTACTTACCCGGTGATCCCAGCAGATGCCAGCAATATTTCTAAGGCATCTGTGGTCAAATACTTGTAGCTTACGGGTGTCTTCTACTCTTAAAGGCCATGTTTCGCTGCCGTAAAGTAAGACAGAACGGACTGCCGCGCAGTATGCTCGTCCTTTTATTGATAGACGGATATCTCGCCTCCGCCAAAGGTGACGTAAGTTGGCAAAAGCCAAACGAGCTTTTCGAATCCGTGCTGAGATTTCGTCAGACACCAACCCATTAGGGCTGATCAGACTTCCAAGATAAGTGAAGTTGTCGACGCGTTCGACTACTTCACTCCCTATCCTTAGTTCAGGTGTTGACGCAGACCAGTCCTGAAGCAACAACTTGCATTTAGAGGGAGAGAAGCGCATCCCAAACATTCTGGCATTGTTGCTTAGTGCTACCAGAAGACTCTGCATTTTGTCAGCGTCTTCACCAAACAGGACTATATCATCTGCGTATTCTAAGTCGATAAGTGGACCTCCTGGAAGGAGATCAATACCCGAGAATTCAGTCGACGAGAGTGTTATTTCCATCAATAGGTCTATGATGAAGTTAAACAAAAATGGAGAAAGTGGACAGCCTTGACGGACACCACTTGAAGTTGCAAAAGTAGATGACAGTTCGCCATAAGCTCTGACTCGACTAGTAGTGTTCGAGTAAAGAGCCTTCACAAGGTTTATGTACTTCTGAGGTACGCCTTTCAATGACAGACACTGCCACAGAGTCTCGCGGTCTACAGAGTCAAACGCTGCTTTTAAGTCAAGAAAGACCACCATCGTCGGACGCCGATAGGTATGCCTGTGTTCTAGAACCTGACGAATGGTGAATATGTGGTCGATGCAGCCACGACCAGGTCTAAAGCCAGCTTGGTTCTCTCGAGTTTGTAGTTCACGAGTCTTAGTTAGGCGTCTGATAATTATCGAGGCCAGTATTTTAGATACTATGTTTGTTAAACTAATCCCTCTGTGGTTGTCACAGGATGATTTTGACCCTTTCTTATATATTGGGACGATAAGTGATTGTGACCAGTCAGATGGGATAACATCTAACTCCCAGATCTGAGCTAAAATATTAGTCAACCTAATCGCTAAAATTGGACCACCATCCTTAAAGACATGATCAATACATCCTCAACCAGAACGAAACCCAGCCTGCTCCTCGCGAGTCAATCTCTCTCGGGTTTTGAAAAACCTACGAAGTATGACGGAAGCCAATAGCTTGGACGCAATCGGAAGTAGACTTATCCCCCGATAGTTGTTACAGGAACGATAGGGACAACTATCGACTCATTCCATGACATTGGTACACTCTCTAGCCCCCAGACCTTTGCGAACAACGTCGTCAGTTCCTCAGTCAGAAGGATTTGAATATAACCGACTTGGTCTCGTGTACTGTTACGGTTATGAGGCTGATGTCACTTCCCGGCTGCCCACAGCGTGGAAGGATATTTCTTTAGGAGCCTGAAAAGGAAATCGGATTAGTGTTGGTCTTAACTTCATATGATCGAGATACAACTACACAAAAAACATTTTATGTTAGAAGGAAACCTCGTAAAAACATTGTGATATGATCACTGAATATGCACATAGGGATGCATTTTATTAGTCTCTTCGTGGAACAGGTCAGTACTCTGAAGCAATTGAAAAGTAGCGAAAGAATAGGTAAGGTCTTTACTCTTTCTCTGTGATAGTTACACTAACGACCGTCTCGATAATTTTAAACAGTTGTCTATTGTAGTTAGTAGTTTTTGCTTCTTATCTTCACCGATAACGAAGTGTATTTAAATTAGGTGTATTTCTTCCCTATAGGCTTTATCGGTACTCATATTTTGGATGATGCGAAACTGGTCACTAAACAAAAAAGAAAATCACGCTTGTTACCAACCCGTATAAGTAAGTTTGTATATGTGAATGCAGGTTGCAAACGCTTCTGTGCGCAATTCAATTCATTTATAACTGCATGGTACTTTTAACGATAATAAATTCAGTGCTACACACTATAGTTGCAACACAACAGTCTGCCGTGTTTCATGAATTAGACTTTTGGTTAGGAAGAATAATTGTGAATTGCCCTGGAGTTTGGGAACTTATTACTTTATACCTCTCAACATTTTTTTAAAGATGTATATTCATGTTGCTGCGAATAAGAGATTACTAATACTTCTCACCTATAATATAATTTTCTCAACTTGTCCAACTTAATAATTAGGCGATTTTTAACTGTAAAATTAACCAGAAGGGAACACCGTGTGTTTTATTCAAGCAGAACGTAGATTAGGGCTTTTAAATATTAGGTAAAGGTTAATTGCAGTTAACATTTAGTTGATTTATCAGGTTCCTTCATATTTAACCGTGCTTTACTTGATGAAGTGCTGACATTACTACAGTGGATCTTGAGTAGAATCTTAGTTTAATATTTATTCTAAGTTTGATCAATGAATAATAAAGTCTTTAAAGTTCTAAGTACTCTCTTAGCTTTTATATAGATCTTCGTATAAAAAGGGACTTCATTTGTGAAATATATTGCTTGTGTTTCTTTGACCTAATAATCATTATGTTACATGTGTCTTTCATAGGCAAGTGTAATGAGTGTAAGGAAAATACATCTGGTTGTGAATCCTGTCTGGCTAAGCGTTATGAGGTCCTTAATAGCAATTACGTTCGTTCGGCGCTCAAAGAATATGATCTTGATATTGGTAACATGCTGGACTGTGATCAGGAACCGGGGCCCGCTGGTGGACCACTTGTTAAGACAACGGCTACTAGGATTTCTAAGTCAGCTTCACCAGTTGCCGAGGAAAATGAAAGTGATATAGATTCATGTGACAAAAAATCAGCCAACCCTGAAACATTAATTTATTCGTCAGATGAAGTTTACGTCACACCACCCCCGTACATTGACCATGAATATTCTCATTGCCAAGCCCAACTGCGCCGACCTGAAGAAAATCAGCTTGTAAATAAATTTAACGACAACTACTATACAGGTAGACTGTCAGAATTAATGAACCTCTATCCGCTTCTCAAAGCTTTTGTGGATTCCATAGTTCTAGAAACAGATGCTAATTATGAAACAGATGAATTTGATGACGGCTTCAGTTCATCAGGAAATGATATATACAGTGAAGAGGATTTTGATGGGGGAAACCATGAATTAAAGGACTCGGGTAGTCAGGATCTTTGTGATTGCGAATATACTTTTTGCAAAAGGAGCTCTCGTCGCCAGCATATGGTTTCACCGTATTTCGAAGCTCGTAAGACACGTCCGTTTAGAATTTCATCTCGTAATGTTAAGCAGCGTAAGGGAACGAGATCAATGAAATTATCTTCATTAAACAGTTGTCCCACTCGAAGATCCAAAAGAGTTATAAAGGCTCCTCGCCGTCCATATGATGACTTTGAGAAGTCTCAATACTATAATTATGAATTAGATGATGAGTCAAGAATATTGATTTTTGATGAAAAGGAAGGAAATTTTAGTTCCAGTGCTCGATCTAGTATGATGGAACGTTACAGTCGCCATTCGCCTAATAGTCAGTCAGATATTGATTCAGAGAGTGCTGAGAAATCTGTGGATATTGAGAATGGTCGATATCGGTATCATAATCATCACCGATCATTAAAACGCGCTCGTCAACCTATTTCAAGTACACAAACACATTTAGATAACATCGTTGATCGTTCGCCTTCTAATTTGGAGGACTATGATTTTAGTTCTGATCAAGAAGAAAGTTATTTATGTGCTGCTTCCACATTACAAGTAAGCAAAAACAGGATGACCTTAAGCTCATCGCATCAACTTAACAAACGATCGCAAACAAAAAAACAGGAGATACATCTTGATGTCGCTGGTGGTTGGGCTTCTATGAAGTGGTCCGTTGAGCGGGAAATAGATGAACCTTCAATTAATTGTGTTAAGTTAGGAAGAAGTCACAACGGTTTTCCTGATGATGAATGTGATAAAATTCAAACCTATAAACAGACAGCAGAGGAGCCTGTTTTAAAACGCAAGTTAGTTTATGTTATAAATATCAATAGTGATTCTGTTATAATTCGTATTTAATATTTTAAATCCCTAGTTTTTTAAGTGAGTATATATCTGTTTCAAGTCAGTCGTATTGTATAAAATCTCAAATAATTAGTTTCTAATATCACAAAAATGGCAACTAATCAGTCAACTACGACGTAGGACCAGGCACATATATGCTTACGTCTAAGTAAGGAAGATTTCATACAAGGACATGATACAGGAAAAAAGAATTAGTACGTAGAAAGAAAGATATGAAATAATTTTAATCTCATAGTTTGAGGGAAGACAGAGTGTATACACCTACACCGTTGTGATCGATTCTGAGCCATGTCACCCAGAGTCCCAACCATTGGTTACGAGAGTCATGCGGGTTCCAACCAAGTAGTCTGCATCTACCAACATGGCTCAGACTAGAAGTTAATGACTTTATAGACCGATGCCACGTTTTGGTTCGGCCGCCCTCAACTTTCTTCCAACCATCCTCAACACCAGTCAGCAATGCGCGTCGTGGTAATCGGTGTTCAGGCATACGTAGCACGTGACCCAAACATATCAGTCGATAAAGATTCACAACCTCATCAACTGATTTATCATCATTCCCTAATGCCTTGCGTCTAACCTCACTATTACGTACCCGGTGATCCCAGAAGATGAGAGCAATATTTCTAAGGCATCTGTGGTCGAATACTGGTAGCTTACGAGTATCTTCTACTCTTAATGGCCACGTTTCGCAGCCGTAAAGTAGAACAGAACGAACTGCCGCGCACTATACTCGTCCCGAATATCTCGCATTCGTCATAGGTGACGTAAGTTGGTAAAAGCCAAACGAGCATTCTGAATCCATGCTGAAATTTCATCAGATACCAACCCATTAAGCTGATCAGACTTCCAAGATACGTGGAGTTGTGGGCGCGTTCGATTACTTCACATCGTATCCTTAGTTCAAGTGTTGACGCAGGCCAGTCCTGAAGCAACAACTTGCATTTAGATGGGGAGAAGCGCATCCCAAACATTCTGGCATTGTTGGCCAGCGCTATCAAAAGACTCTGCATTTTATTAGCGTCTTCATCAAACAAGACTATGTTATCTTCGTATTCTAAGTCGATAAGTGGACCTCCTGGAAGGAGATCAATGTCCGAAAATTCAGACGACGAGAACGTTATTCCCATTAGTATGTCTACAATGAAGTTGAACAAAAATAGCGATAGTGGACAACCTTGACGGATACCACTTGAGGTTGCAAAATCAGATGACAGTTCGCCATAAGCTCTGACTTGATTAGTAGTGTTCCAGTAAAGTTTTCACAAGGTCCATGTACTTCTGATGTACATTGCCACAGAACCTCTCGGGCAACAGAGTCAAATGCTGCTTTTAAGTCAAGAAAGACCACCAATGTCGGACGCCGATAAGCAAGCCTATGTTCTAAAACCTGACGAATGGTGAATATGTGGTTGATGCAACCCCGATCAGGTCTGAATCCAGCCTGATTTGCTCGTGTTTGCAGTTCACGAGTCTTTGTTAGGCGCCCGATAATTATTGAGGTTAGTATCTTAGATGCTATAATCCCTCTATGGTTATCACATGATGACTTCGACCCCTTCTCATATATTGGGACAATCAGTGATTGTGACCAGTCAGACGGGATTACGTCCAACACCCAGATTTTAGCTAGAATATTAGTCAACCTAATCGCTAAAGTTGGATCGCCATACTTAAGGACCTCTGGAGTCAATTCATCTGGACCAGCTGCCCTTCATTGTTTCATATTAACTATAGCCTTTTGAACTTCAGCTAGAGTTGGTAGGAAACATATCAATGTTCTATTCAGGCTGTTTGGGAATGGTGGGTAGCTATAGAGTAGCTGAAGGTCAAATAAACTGCTCCCTAGTCTTCCGACAATCACTATAAACGAGCGGATAAGAGTGACCTCTCTTGCTGAAACTCTCACGTACACTTGATTTTTTAATTCTGGTTTCTTTTATTAGTCTGAAAAGCTGTTTTGTGTTACATACAGCCGCTGTCTTTTCCATCTTGTTTGCTTTCGTCGCCCACCGCTACTCACGATCGTCTTGTAGACTTTTGGTTAACCTACATCTGATATATTTTCGCTCGTCATGTTACTAGCATTTTGGTAAAAGTTTACGAGATTTTATGTCGCGGAAATCAACTAGTTTTTCATGACCCTTTAGATCAAATCACTAATAGGTGTCCCTGTTGTTTCAACAGCTGTTCATATAGCTTCCCAAGCGTTATCTCGGTCATCCTCGTTTTCGGAATTACCTTACTGTGACTTCAGTCGTCTATTTGAGTCTGTCGTTGGTTTAGTGCAAAGGTTCGCCATTTTAGACGATGTCTCTCCTTATGTTTGAAATCAGTGCTTGCTAAAAATAAGCGATTGTCTGAGCACAGTTGCAACAGACGGTCACCATTACCTGTTCACTGAACGGGAATACCAAAATACCCACTTAAATGCCTTCTTTCTTGGTTTAAGCTACCTAATGTGCATTAAAGCCACCTGCTACGCGCACTATTTCTGAGTGTTTAGGTTTTTGAAGTAGTTCAGAAAGCTTTCTGTAAAATTCATCTTTTACGTCATCTGGGTTGTAGTCAGTGGGAAGTGGTAGGCAGAAAGATCATACTTAGTGCTATGTCTACACCTGCCAGTTCAAGAGAACTTACCATTGGGTCGCCAGATGAACGGAGGGCGTATCTCGTCGGCTCCCTGTTTCGGCGAGGTGAGGTCAGGTGAGTTGAACACACTAGGAATCTTTATGTGTTTCGGAGAGAGCATACAACAATGGTATGGGATTCTTAGTCAAGGATGTCTGCTGATCGATTTGACATAGGGTACGTACATTGAAGTCTTGAATGTGTACTTTGAAGTGAGGTTTCAGTAGACTTGAGATAGTGTTTCGCGCACGAGTGCAAAGTTGCGGATGCGCACCACCGCCGGAGTCGCGTACTGGGACGAGACGCCCGTCCAGGTTTCCAAAAGTGACAGAACTTAGGTCGGTTCATGATCTCACTGAAATATACAAGTCTTGTTTTCATGTCACTGTTAAACTTGTGAGTTTTTATCTTTTTTGGACATGTGCTTTATCTGCAGGTGTATCATTGGAAAACTTACTGTTAGCAATGTTATATGTCCCAGTCTTCAGTGCTGAAAGTTGCAATGTGGTCACCAATTTTAGTTGCTTGACAATAAAGTTGTGTCCATACCTTGCAATATCGAGTGAAATTTTACTTTTCTTTATTTATTTGTATTAGTAAACAGACGGCTGTTGATGCAGCACGATTACTGCTGGGAATCAGTCAAATCCAAAATCTCAGACAGAAATCTGAGTGTTTGAATCTGGACACCAGTGTAGCTAGTTCAACATTAGATTTCAAAAGAACATCCATCTCCGGTACAGATCATGCCACTTCTGAATCTATGATATTACAAGAAGTGCCGGCCACTCTGATCTAAAAATTTGTCTTCTCGTTTCCTTCTTTGAATATGCTATATATATATCTATATATATATATCAGTGAATTTGAATAACTCGTTGATTTCAGGGTTACCCATTCTAGTCTCATTCGCTCAACGCGAATATTTCAACCCATGACCTGATTCACCTCATCCTGCAATATTAGTTTCGCTTCCATTTTTTCATATAATTTTTCTGTTACAACACGTACGTTACTTTGTTTATTCCAATCACTGCGCCTATTGACAGAGTGTTAATTTTCCTATAGATTTTTCAGCATCAGGTTCACGGCATAAATTATCATGTTGTTTTTGTCTTATACTTGTTTATCATGCAAAATAATTTGTAGCACCCGCATTTGTATTTTATCAAAGTTTTTCAGTTTACATTAATCAAACTCCTGTGCAGTATTAACAGTGTGTTTGGAGGCTTCTCCTAACTTTTACTCCTTGCTTAAACGAAAATTCCTCCACATCTTAAAATTAGTGCAATTTCTGAATTCGGTGTGGTTATTTTCAAAACATGCAAGGAAAGTTTGTTTTTTTACTGTAATAATCATAATGCGTTGTACATTCAACAGTATTGCATGTAGATGTTATTTGTGTACTTTTCATTTGATTTACTGTTCTTCCGGTTATTTTTGGAAGTGCATTTTGTTGATATATTTGTTATTCATCTGTTATACTGGTTTGTATCCTTTTTCCACATAAAAATCCATTTACTGGATTCTTTAGATGAAACTCTTTAGTTAAATACTTTGATCAGTGATTTTGAATCATCTGTCAATAACCTAATGTGCAGTATTATTTGTATAGTTTAAGAGAAGTTATCTATTTCAGAATGGGTATTTTTTTAACTGAGAACTATAAGGGTTATTCGTTTTTGTTAAAATCGTTTAAAAATACTTTGGGCATTAATAGAAAGAAACCAATAACATTTAGATATTCTTTTCTTGATATTTAAATGAAGATCATCCAGTACTCATATTCCTTTAAACCTCGGACACGATTTGCAAATAATCTTGTGCTGATTTGAGTTATCTTATGATATATTTAAGTAAACTGCAGATATTCGATAAGTTAAGAAAATAGGTTTTGTCCCGGAACTAAGTGAAATTTCCTGGGCTAGACGAAGACTAAGAAAGAAAGTTAGTTAACAGTTGAAAAGCTGTGGGAAATGTAGTTGGGTGATTCCCGACTCAGTATTTGAATATAAGTTAGTCAGTAGCGACGCACAACTTGACGTGAGTGTCAACTGGTTTTCAAGTCGTTGAACCTTTTGTCAGCAGAGTATAAGGAAATCATACAAAAAAGAACAATACTGACAACAATGAAAACGTCGAAATTATAGTTAGAAACGAGCAACGACAATTGATGGACAGAAATCGTTAACTAACTGAAGGCTTAGGAGAGGGACTGAGAATGAAGGCCAATATGTCACTGACCGACTATTCATTGCGATTGTGTGGGCCCTGACCTAAGAGTTTGGGCATACAGACATGGCGCAGACCGATGATCAGTGATTTCACGAGCTAGTGCCACGTCTCGGTTCGTTGGTCACCAGTCTATTAATCTAATTGTATGTCAGGTGACATTGTACGTGATGGTTTGAGGAATCCAGACGTGTTCGCCCCAAACCTCAATGTCAAGTTTCTAGGAAAACAATACTAAGTCGCTGAATAGTCAAATTTAGAAATCAGAACCATGAGTGTATAATTGAATTATTTTACAATGTATTATAGAAATATTATTAACATATGTTGTAACAATGAGGATCAATTTGCTTCTCTACTCCACAGTTTATAAGTTAGGTCGTGGGAACAGGTTGCAATGTACTTATTGTCTGGTGAAATATCTGCATAAACAACTTTACTGTTATGTCCTTCGAGGGTTTTGATAGGTGTCCAGATAGGATGACCCCAAATTTTGGTTGTTTTGTCAAACGAACTGGTAACAATATAGTTGCAGTTGCGTGCTGTGAATAGAACAAAAGTAGAAAGCATGATATTCGGCTTTCAGATCACAACTTTTCTCAGAAATCGCGACTTAACAAGTTAAAACCGTAATGGAACTGAGTAGTATCGACAATCTTGGAATAGCAAGTAGAGTTTATCCTAGTGCATAAACTTGTGAGAAGTTAGTGAACTGCATTCTCGTCGATCTAGTCAAAAACAAATATTTCCGGTTTCATCCATAAATAATTTCACATATAAATAGCAATGGTCAGGAAAAAGTGAGTGAATAGCTTTTTCGAACTATAATTACGCGACCTAGTATTAGTAATGTGATAGAGCAATCAATTTGATTGAATAAATTCATACCTACGAAATGCTCATCCTACAATTATCTGGAAGTTGGCCGGCAATACTGCCAGAAATTCCTCTGAAATAATCAACTTACATTCGAATCGCACGCTGCTTACAACACTTGTGTGAGCTGGTATTACATAGATTGCTTGTTGTTGTCGTAAATCCCAAATACGAACAGTGTTATCTGCACTAGAAGTGGCTGCATGATAACCATTATCAGCTACATCTGCACCCAGCAACTCTTCAAGGTGACCTTCTAGGAACATAATGCAACGGCCTGTTCGTAAGTCCCAAACACGAGCATATCCATCTAAACCAGTGGTTAGAGCTAAGGAGCCATCAGGGTGGAAAACTACATCATATACCGGCTTAGAATGACCTTCCTGATGTAAAATTTCTTCACAAGCCTCTAAATCCCATAAGCGCCACGAGTGGTCGAAGCACGTAGTTGCTAGGAAGCGTCCAGAAGGATGGAAAGCTAAGCGGGATACTCGATGAGGTGCGTGACCTTCGATATCGGCCAAAGGTTCTTCATTATCTAAACTCCATAGTTTAACGCTTCCGTCCTGAAATAAAAAGATGATATAGGGTTTTACAAGCAAAGCTTAAAAAAATATTTTGTGCAATATCTATAAGAAAACTCTTGTAGAATACATCAGTAATTCTTCAGTTAGTCCTGTCCATGATAAGGAACAAAAGGCGTATTAACCTATTATTGGTCAGCGGCTACCATGGGACTGCACCAACTGACGTTGCTCAATTGCCTTGTGGACTATACATTTAGGTCTAAAGGCTCCGGGTGTGGTCCCATTGTATGGCGCATATGTATTCGGTGCCCCTTTGTACCAGTATTTATGTGTTTAAATAAATAATAACAATGATAGCAACGGTGACGATAAAGATCAGTTCTACGAGAGACTGCAATTGATCAGAGGAAAAAGCTCCAAAAGAAGGAAATATGATACAACAAAGAAACTGGAAGGGAAATGCAGTAAATCAGGGATCCGTCAAGGATAAAAAAGGAAAGCCAATCACTGAAATTCAAGAACAGTATAACAGATGGGTTGAAACATTCGAGGAGCTCCTGAACAGGCCACTTTCGTTGAGTCCACCAGACATCGAAGCAGCACGCACAGACCTTCCTATAGATGTCACTCCACCAATGATCGAATAAATCAGCATGGTCACCAGACAAACCAAGAGTGCGAAAGCAGCATAACCAGACACTATACCAACTGAAGCACTGGAGTCAGACATGAAAGGAACTGCAGAGACTATCCACGTTCTGTTCAGGAAGATTTGGGAGGAAGGACGAGTGCCACTGACAGACTGAAAAGACGGATACCTCGCCAACCTACCAAAGAAAGAAAATCTGAGTAAATGTGAGAACTATACAGGCATTACACTACTATTGGTACCAGGAAACGTTTTCAACAGTGTTTCCGAACCGAATGAAGGATTCATTAGACGCCCAGCTTCGAGATCAACAGACCAAATCACGACACTACGGATCACCGTTGAACAATCAATTGAATGGAAATCGTCACTATACATCAACTTCCTTGATTATGAGAAAGCATTTGACAGTGTGGAGAAGAGAACATTATGGAAACTTCTTCGACACTATGGAGTAGCTCAGAAATTCGTCAACATCATACGGAATCATACGACTGACTACACTGCAAAGTGGTGCATAGAAGGCAGCTGATAGGCGCATTCCAAGTGAGGACCAGAGAAAGACAAGGCTGCCTACTCTCTTCCTTTCTCTTTCTCCTGGTGGTTGACTGGATTATGAAGGCCCCTACATCTGACGGGAATCACGGAATATAATGGACAAGTTGGATGCAGCTAGACGATTTGGACTTCACAGGTGACCTAGCTCTTCTATCCCATATACACCATGTTGGGATATTCAGGAAAATATCCCAAAAATTATCCTGTTAAGCCTAGTGCTATCCTTGGACATGAAATAGTATCATCTTATTGGTCAGTATTTATTTAACGTGTCATTTTCCTACTGGCCATTGTTGTACAATGTTATCTTCTATTTTATGGTACGTTGTGGACTGCTTGAATGGTATATAAACAAGTATGTTTGAAATATAAGGATTCATATATCCGAGGCTGAAACTTGTGTTCTGGCTCAACTGGCTGGGTTAGACAGGGAAGCGAGACCAATCAGAACCCTAGGTCGTTCTACGTGTTTGTGCGTCTTTGGTCCGATCAATAATTCGCTAACCCTTAATCCTTCAGCAGCATTATTTTCACGTTATAACACACCAACAAATACAGGTCAAGATAACCAGTGTAGAAGAAGTCTCTGAAGCAGGAGGCCTCAACATACACAAGGGCTAAAGCAACATCCTCAAATACAACACGAAGAACACCAACCCAGTCATGCTTGATGGAGAAACCCTGAAAGAGGTGGAGTTTGAGGTCGTGGCGGAGCTGGTGGGAGTGAAGGAGCAGAAGGCGAAGTTGGAAGGGCTGGGGACGCTGCTGAGAGGCAGGGCGAAGGCTGTATATGACAGCTTGGACGGTGCTGGCGGGAAGACGACATGGGAGACAGTCACGGAGCGGTTGGTGTCGGAGTTCGACAGCCCAGTGGACAGAGAGGAGGTACTGCAGAAGTTCCGGTTGGCGAGGTTGCCGGTCGATGGTGTCCCACTGGTGCTGGCTGTGGAGCTTACTAAATTGTTACGCCGTGCGCTGCCGAGTCTGGGTGAGGAGTCGGAGGCACAGTTGTTGGCGTCGCAGTTTATCGAGAGTGTGCTTGCCACCGTCTCCTAACAGCTGAAACTGGTGAACGCAGCACAACCGATGGATATCAGTGAACTGGCGGTGACTCGTCAGCTGATGACGCGAACAGTAGCTCCAGTCAGGTGCGAAAAGCAGGAGGTAAGTAATGTTGAGAAGAAGATTGAAGAACTGGAGCATGAGATCGCAGCAATACAAGTGATCCATAAAAGGAACGATAAGTGTTACGCTTTTGGAGGGACAGGACATTGGAAGATAAACTGTCCAACAAGACGAAGACGCAGATATGTTAGACGTTACAACGAGTGTTCTTTCTATCCTAGGAATCTGGGGGTTGTTGCGTTAATAGACAGAGGGGTAGTGTATACGAAAGTGAACATAAATGAACGAGATTTAGTTTGTCTGATCGATACAGGGGCAGCAGTATTGTTAATAGGCAAAGAGCAATGTAAGAGACTCAAGCCGTGCACATTAGCTGTCCACACTATAGGAGGCCATATGTTAGAAGTGTTTGGAGTATCTAACAGTATCGTAAAAGTGGGAGATGCTGAGATAAATTTTCCGTTCGTGGTAACCACAAGCTTATCGAGACCGATATTAGGAGCAGATTTCCTAAGAGAAGTAAAAGCGATAGTTGACTTAAGAAGCGGTAAGGTGGTCACAAAGTATGGTTCATTGCCAATACACGAAAGTAGCGAAGTGGCTGAAATAAGAGTGGCAGCGGATGTCTCGTCGAAGAAACCAAACATTAACGAGTTATGCAAAAAGTATGCGAAACTGTTCACTGGAGATGGGGAGCCGTATGGATTTTGTGACAAAGTAAACCACGAAATCCCGATAAAGAACGATCGAGTAAACGCATTTGCAACACGTCGT